TAAATATAGTTATTGCTATTCAGTACGTGGCCCTCGCCTTTAAAACTTGTTGTCTTCGGGATCAGATCAGCATCGATTAACTACAGCTAAAGGTTCTGATTTGGTTTCAATGATGTGTTTTCTTTATTCAGGGACATTTTGTTATCTCTGCCTGTTGATTTGTTTGTTCTGCGTGTAGTTGGCATCCCGAAGTCACTCTTGACTGATATTGCTCCTGCCGTTAGCATAGGAGGCCATGAACCAGCTGTTAGGCAAATGTTTTATTCCTTGAAAGTGAGAGGTTATCCTATAACTACGATTAATGTTTTCTTCTCCACATATTTCACTGCACGAAAAAACGGATTTACATATCATTACCTATAAAAAAATGTTATATTAAAGAACACGTAACGGTAGATGGGGCTTTGCATTTGCGACAAACCCTTTCGTGTGTGCTTCAAAAAATAAAAAATAAAAAATAGTAGCTTCACTTGAAGTTTGCGAATTCATTGTTTGTTTTGAGCTACCAAGGAGACAACGACTCGTGCCGCGCAAACTTCATCATACTTTTAAAAGATTATGCGTATTAGTTTTATCATTACGAAAACGAAAAACAATTTCAAAACTATACGCAATGCCCAGGGATATATATGTTAAGGTTTTTGTTTTTGTTTTTAACTCCTAGTCTGGGCTAAACTGTTGGCAATTATGAGGAAATTTTTTTCTTTTCTTTTCTCCATCGATCCCTTTATGTTTCCATGATACAATATTGTACAGTTTATTAAGTCTTGGGTGCTTCAATCTGCTTGAAACATGCGGTATCTCAGAGAAGAACCGAAAAATGTCAAACTTGAGTACCTATATCAGCAATTTTATCCCAATTATTGCGCTTTGACTTTGGAAGCTCATGCACGAAACAGTAAGTTGTTATTTTAGGATAAATTTCAGAATTCAAGTCTGAAAACAAAGATGAACACCTGTCGTTATCATAATGTATGATCAAATTCGTAAACAACTGAGGTCAGAATAAAAATATATCTTTGTTATATTCTAATGATAACGATGGTTCCCAATGTTTGTATTCAATTCTATTAACGAATTGTTTTGAAGGTTTAGATTGCAAACGTCTGATGTTTTTCAAGAGTTTCAAATACGTTTGTTTTCGCGTTTGCACGATACACAAGAACCGTATGTCCAGCCCATTCAAACGCTGCCATCATGTTATGTTCTCTTGTTTTTTATTAAGTTTAAACACATGCAGAGTTTTACAAGTTGTAAAAAGCACTCTTATTCACATAATTCCCATTTATGAAATGCTAAAAGATGGAAAATCCGAAAACCGCAATGAACACCAAAACCGAAGTTTCTTTGGCACAAAAGCCGAAAAACCGATCTAAAAAAAGAAGTAGCCAAAACGCAAAAACCGAGAATCCCTTTATAATTACTTAAACACCAATTTTTTTTTATTTTATTTAAATTCATCGTTCTCTGAATTCTTCAGTTGGGGTCAAGAAAAGATAGAAAATTTAAAAGAAGCACAATTTGTGTTGACGGGTAGTGAATGCGTCGAAATATTTCAGTCAAATGACTTGTCAAAAAAGGTTTAAGGAAGAAATAATTACACAAGCTAAAAGTACAATTTACAAGGCAAAAAGATTTACAGACAAAATGTGAGGCCTATTCTTGCTCAACGATCCGCCCCGAAGATATGTTTCTTTCCGAACATTTCGAGACGCAATTATTGGCTCATTATCCTAAACCGCCGGGTTAAATCCATTAAAGTCGAGTCATATAAATATCTACATATTTTATTTATTCTGTGGAATTGAAACGTTTTCGCTCGGTAAGAAAGACAACATTGCATAATATAACCTGTATTCCGAGTTTACATCGAGAGAGGCGAGCCATCCTAAGCGGGATCTCCATAAACGAATCAGTTCGCATCGTCGCATGAAGACGCTGGATAGGGTCTCATCTTTAAAGTTCTAGCTTTCCACTGTCTGTTTGCAAAACATTCGTCTTAAAGTGTTTACGACTTCCCTTCGTAATTCACTTACTCGCCAGCAATACAAGAATGGATTGATCGAAGAATTCATGAACATTAAAGTAGTATAAAAGTTGAATTCTATTTTCCAGTCTATGATAAACAATCCATAGAGAAAAAGTATTACATACATTGGAGAATAACAAATGATCAAAAATATGAAAAACATAAAAGTATTTATCGCACTTCTACGCAGACGTCTCATCTCTGTACCGTCTCTTTGAGAAGAAGAAGTGTGAACTGCTACTTGTTGAGCTAGAATCTGGGATTGATGCAGGCGGACCACTCTGTATATCAAAATATAGCAGAATGCTGAAATTGTTAAACAGATTACAGTCGCAATACCCATGATAAATTTATATATGTGTTCTATCCAGAGATAAGAGGCAGAGAGGAGTAGGTTAACCAACCATATCGTTAACACAGTATATCTGACTCGAGATTTGGTAAATAAAGAACCATATCTCATGTGATAACGGATAGCCATAAGTCGATCCACACTTATTGCAGTTATCGTACAAAGCGTCACCGAGCATGCCGAGCCTATTACCACTCCTGGGAGTTTTTGTAGAAAATTATTTCTTGTTAATATACCGCCGATGAAAAACGGTTGTGCGACAAAACCAACCAGTAGATCTGAGACAGCCAGACTACAGACAAGAGTCAATGGGTTTGGTTGAAGGGAAGTAATCTTTTTCATGGCTACCAGCACCAAAGCATTTCCCACAATAGATGCAAACAGCAACGGAAAATTTACGATGGCGATGATTTCGCGAGTCGTCTGGTCATGAAAAACTGTCGATTGAGCTGTTGTCTTATTCTCTCTGTTGGCCGTAATATTCATCATCGCGTTAATTTCCAAAAAAAAGTGCGTTATATATCTTTTTGCTTCTTGAGGTGCGTTTCACCATGCCTGTAGAAAAATACTTTTCAAATAAATTGCAAATTTAGTTTTGTTTGTCTTGTTAAAGATACCCCTTTCAGATTTTGACGTTTCAATGGTACGTTTTTCCTTGTTCCCTTTTTGGCAGCGATCTGCATCATATCTTCCCCTTCCATAGAAACAAACGTAATGCATATCAATTAACAAGGAGTAACTACAGGGAAATTATGCGTCTCTATAGTTTTTCGCCCGCCACTATTCGCTAAAAAAAAAATAGGGAAAAATGCGTCTTCTCTTACCTAGAGAAAATTGTTTTAAATTAGTTTCTTGTCAACTTATAACTTAGATGTTTTGTCTCTCAACAAACATTTATCATTGTAGCCTACCCTAAGCTTATTTTGCATATTCAATGTCCAAATTAGAATTTTAAAAATGATTAAAATATTGAAAGGGCATTTCAGGATAGGGAAATCTTTCCTGTTAAATATCTAACTAACTGAAGCTCAAATATTTCGACTGTTCTTCTTCGATTATGAGAGTCAAAACTAACATTAAAAAGAAAATAAACAACTTCAAGCTTTGGATTTAGCGCTAGCTACGTGCTGAGTTAAAAAACGGAAGATTTTCAGTAAATGGCACCTGTCCGAAAGTGAATACATATTGATAAAGATATTTGAGATGTTGAATATGCACGAAGGTAACCAAAGAGACTGATATAAAAAATTCACCTGTTTTTTTTTTTCGAGATCTTTGTTGCATGTCCTATCCTGAAGTTACTTTATTGGTCAGAGACTTTGTTTGATTATTTATCGTTAAGGATCATCCATGTCGACAATCTGGTAGGTAGACCATGCCAGAGACCACGAAATTGCTCTAACTGACTAAGCTGAAGAAGACAATAGAAACTGTCAGGGACCCAAGGAGTTCAATTGTATTTTGATAGCAAAATTTGAATATTTCATTGATAGGCAAGGGCTATGTAGAGTTTCAATTACTCATTTTTAATAATACAAAAAATCATTTCATTAGTTTGAAAGCCGTGAGTTGGACTTTGGAGAACAAATTGACTCCCTTATTTTATCATAAATAATTTTCTTTACGTTGAAGACTTAAAAAAATCTTACAGGTATCTTAGAAAAGCTATTAATACCTTCGTTTAGTTGTACAACAACTCCTCTTGATAGATTTAAATTTTTTAATATTTTGCAATATTTCTCTTAAAGCCCTAAGCTAAATGCTTTTTTTTTTTAAAAATGTAATTAATTATAACACGATCTCGCAATTATGCAAGATGATTCCCAACTGACTTACCCTTCGAAAACACAACGTTAACATTAGGAGAGCCGTAGGGTAGCGGACCACAAAGGGAACCTGATTCAAAAGATGCACCTATTACAGCCGTGGAATTCTATCCAATCACAACTGAGCACGGCAGCATATAGTTGACGCATACTCAGTCGACCTCATCGCCCGAAGAAGACTTGCAGTACGCAGCCGAAATGTCGCGATCCACATCCCAAGTGACCACATCGTGAGACAAACGACTACACTTCTCTTAAGTGACTCACTCTTATCGGTGCTAATTTCTTTGGCTGATAGATTTTTTATGAGCTGATGAAATAAATAGCTGTCTCCTTTTATTATAATTTAATCATGAAGCTTAGTGTACTTACAGGTAATAAAACCTTGAGATTGGCTTTTTCATCTTGGACTGTTTGTTCAGGATTGTCTTCGTTGCTGAGTCAAATGCCCACGCCAGCCGCGACAATAAAACTACATACACCATTCGGTCAAAGTCGGCCATCTTTACATCGGTCTCGCTGCTTAACCGATATTTATCGCTGATCTGTTTGGCTTGGTTCCCATTAGCGACTGAACAGTCACAATGATAAAGTTTGATACAAATTAGTTGGAACACACAGGTGTCCTTGAAATGAGAACGTTATTAGTTATACTGAATTTATGTATACAGAAGTTAGCGTTCCCACTATAAATAACTAAATAAATAAATAAATAAATAACTTAATTGTACACAGAATTAAAAAAGTTGTCACTTATTAACATTGAAGCTGTGTACAGAATAAATTATAATATACATATAAGTAAATTGAATTAATTAAATAAATAAATAAGAATAAAAGCTAAATATACATACAATTAACTAAAATTACATACAATCATTTCTCAAACCAATAGTTTGAAGTAAAACTCCTTATCGATTCAGAATTCTTTACATGATTTGGTGAGTCATTAAAAAGCTCAACGTCTGCATAAGAAAATGATCTACTTCCTGATTTAGATGAAATCCTATTCAAATGAATATTACTACGTCCCCTAGTATAATAACTATGTATATCCAAATTACGAGAAAACAAATTCAATAAGTAGGATGGACAAGAACCATTTATGCAGCGGAAAACTTGAAGACATTTGTGGAAGGTCCAACTCTCAGTTAGTGGTAACCAACGTAACTCCTTAAAGAGCTGTTCAGAGCTTACTTCTCCAATCTTACGCTGAAGGATAATAAGAGCACCTCGTTTTTGTAATCTTAACAGCCTATTCAAATATGTTTTATCTGAATTGGACCATAGAATATCGCAATACTCGTATAATGGTTGAACAATCGAATTACTCAATTGCTTTCAAACATCAGTGCTAATATATTTTCTAATTCTACCCAAGAGTCCAAGTCTACGAGAAACTTTCGAAGCTATAGTATCAATGTGTCCATGCCAGTTCAAGTTCGAATCAAAAATGACTCCTAAGTATTTAGAAAGGTCTTTTACCGGGAGAAATGATTCTGACATTTTTAGGACAGGCCTACTAACTTTAGCCAGACGCTGACTTGTGCCCAACACCATGACATTTGTCTTGGAGCAGTTAACTATCGGACCATTATCACGGAACCAATTGCTCAAGGAGCTAAGCTTTTCTTGAAGGACACGTTCGATGATCTTTACATCCCTGTTGGCGAAGAACAGTGCTGTGTCATCCGCATATAAAACAACCTTGCTTTGCTAGACACAGTTTAGAAGATCGTTGATAAAGATAAGGAATAACAAGGGTCCTAAAACGGACCCTTGAGGTACACTAGAGTTCAAATCCATGGGCTCAGAGGTGGTTTCATTAACGCAGACAGACTGAGTTCTACCAGACAGATTATTATCAATCCAGTGTAAAGCGTTTCCAATTATACAAACGTGAGCAAGTTTAGTTTTCAAGATGGAATGATCAATCAAATCGAACGCCTTGCTCAAATCCAAGAACACACGCACCACAAGTAAGGCAGCCTTGATCCATATTCTTCAATATGAAATCAGAAACATCTAAGAGGCAAGTCGTCGTAGAGTGGCCTGGGGTCTAAAGCCTGATTGATGGGAGGAGAGCAGCTTGTTTGATGATAAATGCTGTTATATCTGACTGTGAACTCCTCGCTCGAAAATCTTCATCACCACTGGTAAGACGGATATGGGTCTGAAATTATTAGGATCAGAGACAGAACCATCTTTATGAAGAGGTATCACAGTAGCAGATTTCCATGACCAGGGTATGATAGCAGAACTCAGCGACAAGTTCAAGATGTAAGTTAGAGGTGCGGCAATGACGTCAGCCCCAGTTCTTAGAAAACGAGTATGAATATCTTTGAGGCCTGAAGACTTGTTCACTTTCAAAGAAGATAATTCCTTGCGCACAAAAATCAACTGAGATGTCCTTAAATTCAAAGTTCTTTACTGAAACCAAATTAGGTACATTGGAAACATTACTTAGAACATTACTTAGATTACTATGACATAAAAGTTGATCAGACAGTTGAATTCAAGTTGAAGAATAAGACGGGACGAGACTCCATACATTTAGAACACTATTGCGAGTAGCTATGCCTTATTTACTTACGCTATAACGAACACACCGATAAAATTTCAAAACGGTTACACGAACCATACNACCTGACGATTTAAATATCTAATCGGACACAATATGCAGCATAACGATCATACGAAGATAAAGTACAAGACATTTTTCGCGCGAAAACTCAAAATATAACTACTAATGCGAGGGGACTAAAGCCTAGTATGCGGATGGACCGCTGGCCCTTAAATTTGTGAAAACAGATGAATTCGTTCATATATCTATGTCATAAATTATTTTTCCTCGGTTGTCAAAGAGAGAATTTCTAGGGTTTTAGACTTCTACTCTAACCTACCAGGACATGATTTACATGTATAAATAGTCACTTTTCTCTCGTCTCAAGTTTTGGCCGCACAGGAGTGGTTTGTTCTCATTCAGTTGAATTGATGCAAGGCAGATGCGGGAATCTAGGTAAAGAAGATGATTACATGTAAAAGAACAAGAAGAAAACCCAGAAACGGAGATTAAACTGTTAGCCGTATAACGGATTTTCCGGGATAAAAACGACCGTCGAAATTAACCAATGAAATTGTCGTCGTTTGATATTCATGAATATTTGCTTCACTTACTTAATGACGGGTAGTTTTATGCAGAAAGATAATTATGCTTTGATGTTTTTTTTCGGCGTAAATAGAACACTCGTGAACTAAAAACCCGAGAACATGTTCTCTTGATAACGGATATACCAAATCAATGCGTTTTTGACGACTGTTTTTTTTTTCTAACTTAAAGGTGTAATCCTAATAACGTGAAAGGACAAAAGATTAACTCAAATAATAATCTTGGCTCAAATAAAAATGCATTCTGACTATTGCACGCATGGAGTCTGAAGAGTAATGTAAATGTGTGTCTTTTGGTTCAAAGAGGCGTCAATATCCTTTAAAACTTTCACAAAAGATGGATATGAATTTTCATGATTATCTCTCGGGTAGATCCTACTCAAGATATATATTGGATATCTAGCTTAATGTGTTTCTCCAACTTTGACAATGTGCTATTGCTTGCGGTAGAACTTTGATGTTTTTGGCCACCATTTTCATTATGCTCCTCGCGTCCTAACAGTCAGAATGAACATATCCACATAAAATGAAACAACTTAGGAGTTTCCCCTGTAGTTCCTTTATCGAATATGCCATGTAAATTAGCGACTCCTTGATAAGTAATTCTCTGCAAGGTATATAAACACCTTTCCAGATACTTTTCTTTCAGATATTGCATATCCGAGGAGTCATTTTCTGCCACGAAGGGACAAAAAACAGTTTATTTCAACAAATCTCAATAAGTAGAAATATTATTCAACCTTCTTCTTTTCGTTCAAGCTGTTTTTGAAATTGTCCAAAAAATCAACTATTTTAAATGTTCAGAATTTCCGTTGGCTTGGAAATCCAGAATTGAAAGAACACTTACTAAAAAATGTGAAAACCAGCTGCACCCTTAGCTTGAATAAACACAATGCCCATTAGGCAAGATCCCTCATCAAAACTTAACATGCAAACTATCATGATTTCGCCCTAGTAAGAAGACATTGCGTAGGGTTCTGTAACTTGGACTGAAGAAGCACTTTCTCAAGAGGGATTTGTGATTTATCGCTAAAATGAGCTACAGTGATGTATGTCACTCACAAGAAGGCCAGTTCGGCTATAAAAACATTGTTATC